TGCCTCTTCTTCTGGGATCTAGAAAAAATTGCTCTTTGTTTTCAAACATGCCTTGAATATGGATGTGATACTGACAGCTTCAAATGCCATTCGAGGTGGAACAAGGAGAAAAATATACAACATCACTCCGATTTTCAAAGATGAGTCTTTCAGTGCGCATAATATGTCAAGGAGAATATAAATCGAACAGAGATGAACTCGAAATCTGAACTGACTCTCCTCATCTCTGGTTGAATAGCATACTGTACTTCAAAGATCTGTCTACCAATGACAGACGTTGTTGATCGAAGCACTGTAGCTGTATGTAGACGGAGTAAAGTTTCCAGGTACTTGTCTAGAAGGATTATTCCGGATGAGCTCCTCACTTTCCCAGGTTTTCCAAGATGTTGTGCAATTGCGTCAGTTTAGGCCCGTTTCCTTCGACCAGGTCGATGAAATCCTCTGTTATTTTTATTGAACATCAATAAGTACTGTACTTTTCTTTGGGGTTATTGAAGACTCTTCAACAGAAGAGATCGAAGGGCTAAATTATTCTCAAGGCAGATGCCATAATGATGTAGGGACTCGGGAGTAATTTTTGTTGAACATTTCGTCGAAGTTGAAGGTATAATCTGAGGTTTCAAAAATCAGAATTAATGTTAAAAAATATTTTCTGGTGATACGATGAGCAACTTGAACACCGATCCCAGCAAATATTTTCCACATTTTCACGGGTGAAAAAACCATGAATAACTAAAATGTCTCATGCATCAATATAGTCTAAAAATGTATTTATCATTCGTCGACGAAGGAGCTGAATAAAATTACTTCCCCGTCGATGTTATGCACATACGCAACTTGGAAAACCCTGATCGAGCAAATGATTTTTCACTAGTGGAAAAAACATGAATAAGTAAATTGTGTTATGCTTCCACAGTTTGAAATTTTCTTCTCATCTACATTTTATGCACTTGAGTAACTTTAACAACGATACCAGGCGAAATAATTTCGCAATTTTCTACGAGTGAAAAAAACCTGAATGAATAACATGTTTGATGCTTCAATAGTTTAAAAATGGATTTATTCTTCGTCGACAAATGAGCTAAATGATGTCTAGGTGTGCTGAATTTCGATTCTTAATTCTAACATGAAAACCGAGGACAGGAAGTCATTTTTCCAGAGCGATGACACGGAAATACGTGAACGGAATATGAAAGCAAAGATATAAGTCCGTTGAGTTGTGGACGTTAGCAGCATTTTATAGCACGCTAATTAAGGGTGGGCATGGAGACAAGCCTAATTCGGTGGCTGGTGTTCGTTACGTCGTCTTCTCTCTAATGAACTATGACCTCAGTTGAGCGTTGACCTAAGCTGACATCATCAGCGTCAGAAATATGTCCCATACTTGACCCGACCGCAAACTTCTTCATCTTATTTCCGAAGTTGTCCTCAGCTATTCGGATGGGAATACAGAGTTGAGGAAGACTCCGCAGAACACGAATGTCGTCCAGAAGCCCCCCTGTCAAAAGCCCCCTTGCGAAAAGCCCCCCCCCTCCCCTGCCAAAAGCCCCTCTGTTGTGAAAAAGTTCAGGGATTACATGTACAGTATTCTTGAAACTATTCTCCATTGTGGCTTTTGAACTATAGGGAGGATTTGGCAAAAGGGGGGGGGGGGTAACTTTTGGTGGAGTACCGCAGAAAACCCATTTTATGCGCTTATTTAGGCCGGGATCAGACACTCCGTCAACACAAATAGTTTGTTTAAAGTAATTAGTCTGATTATAAGAAGAGGTTTCCTATTTTCGAAACCTTTATTTTACCAAATATACAGTACATCATTTATTCGACATACATTTTCCCTCAATGATTTTGATTTTAAATTCAGTTGTCAATGTCTGATATATAAATTCAAAGGGATTGCTTGATTGGAATTTTCCCCACTGTAAAATAATTTTTTGGAACTTTCCGCTAAGGAAGTTGATATATCTGCGTCTGAGAACTAATCGAACTCATCCAAGAAATTCTGCGGCCAGCATAGTGAAGGTATTAGTATTCAACATGGATTGAGATTCCAATCAAAATTTCTCAAGAAAAAATGTGCACTCTTTCATCCAGCGCTGACATTTCTATTGAAACTGATTTTAAACCATGATGAATTCTTGAAAGGTGAATTCATGCTACAGTATTCAAGTTCTAAACGCCAGAACGAAGATCGTTAGTTAATGACCATTGAAATACGAAATAATGTAATACGATGTGAATTTGGTGAATCATCCACGATATGTGATGAGTACAGCAATTTACAGACCACTGTACTTTGGATAAAGAAACATTTTGAAAGTCAACGTCAGCTCACACCAGTCCTTAATTCCTCATGTACGGAACGAAGGCAAAATGTATCTCAGGATTTTCTTCATTTCCGCTTGTAATCAATGTCAAATTGTTATCCCCTTATACGGAGGTACGTAGAATGACATTAGGTTTACAATGCTGCATTTTCATGCTGTTCCGATTAAAATTTACAGTACTGTGAAGTTAGTGACATCTCTGGTTCATCACAAATACACACGATCACGTTTAGTCTATCGCATGTAGGTGACGCTGCTTTCTAACGTGATACGGAATGAAAAAATAAAATACTCCGAATTGAAATGCATCTTAATTTTGTTTACATCAGAAACCAAATACGAGCATAGGCGTGAAGTGTCCTTAAAATTCGTATTTTTGCCGTGATTCACTGATTTTTCGTTGCTGAATACCAAACAATAACAACTTAACAAGGAATTAAGCAACCCACGAGGAACATTGCACACACAGTATTGCATAACAGCTTGAGTGCTGAATGCGCGAAAAAATTCGAAGTGCGATCTTTCGCATTTATTCACATGAGATATATTTGTTGGAAAATGTATCGATATTTTATGCTGTACTTTCAATTTTTATATGTGAAGGTTTTGATTTCTGAGATCAAACGAATTCTGTTGCCCATACAAGTGTTTATTAACGTGGATGAAGGATCACTTTCCAGGACTAAGTGTGAGATGCCAGATTTCTCACTGTGTGTATCAAATGGATTTATAGGCGACAAAACCATGGGAAAATAATCGTGGGACAACAAATACTGTACCACATTGAAACCTTTTATTAATATTTGTAATACTGTCCTCTTTTACGAATGCCGGTTTCCGTTCGCGGTTCCCGAAAATATGAGCGAGATGTTCCTGCATATATATACTGTTTATATTCGGTCGTGAATTCATACGTCGATGCTGATTGGTGCAAATTCTCATCTTCCGTATACGTCGGGAAAGTTGCGGCATCTTGAAGAATCGACGACCTTGATGTTTTTGCCGTAGCAGGTGTTTTGAGCTTCGAGTTGGTATGAGTTGCTGTACACTTCTCCATCAGAACCGCACACAGGGGCGTAGATCATCGGGATCGGAATCAAACACGGAGGTTCATCGTTGCCATCTGAATGTTCAACACGTGATAATTACATACCCATCGATTTCAATATACGCTCACGATGAACTTCTTGATTGTGCGATATCGTGTACAGTTACTTTCGCAAGATCATATATGAAATATCCGAGCAATTAAAAAAGCCGATACTGCAATCATTAACTAATGTGTGAGGACTTGAGGAGATTCATGCTGTACAGGAAATGCATTTCATTGAACCGATGTATCGTCCTGCTATATATTTTTTATTTTATTTTTTTGCATTTTTGCATCAGTGAAAATTCAAATTGTTGAACAGAGAAGATTGAAACAAATTCCCACATTTATTGCATTTGCTATGGCATTTTTATTCTAACACGTTAAAAACGAGTAAATACTGTGAAGAAGATGTCATCCTGTGAAAAAAACGAAGTCGAATCTTTGCACTGAAAAAAAGCTGAAAATACCTGTCCTGAAGTTATAATAATAAATAACTCGACAGATGTAATCTTTTCAATTTCCGCATGTGCATTTAAACATAAAATCAAATTTCCTCAATGTAGAATGGAATGACTTACAGTGAGAATGACAAAATTGAATCAAGATTATATATATACAGTATATATATACATCACCATAATTGTTTTTATTTATTTTTAGAGTACAATTCGCATATAAGAATGCTTTCGGGATGTTCTCGAATGTTCATTCTGACACCACGTTCTTAGTTTTTTTGTTGCAAAATAATTTAAAATAATATTACCGCTGATGATCCGAAAAAAATCAACGATCGAAAATTATGTTTCAGTATATTGAATTGCAAGTACCTTTCTAAATTGTTTTATGGACAGTTATATGAGTATCCTTATTCCCCTTTGAACAACACCCATTATACATACCACGTACCCTGACATTGTGCATTAGTGGCGCAATAGAAGCCTCGCAAAATTTTTCACGCCTGAATAATTTCTTTACTGTGTTCTTCTGCTTTCCGTAGAACATGCAATAAGTTCCAGAATGAATAAATACGAAGCTACTGTATTGATCAATTCGCCTATTAATTATTCTCGCGACGAAGCCTGCATTTCTGCGAAGAGTGTGCTGCGATGAGCGAACAGTAACATTTATGGGATATTTTTAGATTCGAATAAACAAGTGCGTGCTGCTGTAAGCAATATGATTACTGTACTTACACATGTTGCTCAAAATTAAAATACAGTTCTTTATATTCGAACAATGTCTGCCTGGTCGTGGAGCACATTAAAATTTTTCTTTTGATTAATGCGTTGTTATTCTGAGCTGAACAAGAAAGGAACCGTTCAACAATTTATAAGTTATTGAGCTTCGCCTTTTGATAAAATGTTATTCGGTTATTCGTCGCTTCACACCTCAATTTTGTCCTTTTTTTAAAAGACTGTTTTGAAGAAGCAGGAGGGTTCTATTTGAATACAGTATTTGTTTTTTACACCGCGCTGTCTGACATATTGAATATGTTACCTGTGAATTCTACAGCATCCATATGGGTAATCAGGTTTTTAATTCTTGAGTTATACTGTACGAGTTAGAAAAGGTTCCCCTTACTCAAAGTGACATTGGTCGTGCAAATGAAGGAGAAACAAAATCGAGATTCGCAGCCGCAATGAATAACATCGTGATCACTTCAGCAGTTTTTCTACTTTTTTTTAGTGAAATCTTCATCGGGTTTATACGAAGTATCCTTAAAACAAGGTAATACTGATCACGGATAATAAAATGATAATAAGATTAGAATTTATAATAATACGATTTTCAACCGAAGTAACGTCGTACTCACTTCAGATGGTTTCAAAATTTTTCATGAAATATTATGAATTATATTTGATAGCAATTTCACGGATTTAGTGTTTTTACTTTGATCTTTCAGATCGGAAATAATTTCAGCACTTGTAAATTCCTTCACGTTGATACTACTCTGAAAATGTTTGACCCACATTTTTGACAGCCCTCCACAGAAAATTTTTTTTTTCATTGATAAACCTTTTTTACATAAAAGTTGGGCAGAGTCAAACCGGAAAAACGTTCAGTCCCCTCCTGCCCTGTCGCGCTAATTACGAATCTATAAAGATTCATGAATTGATAATGAAAATAGGGTAGACTAATCAGCTTTCACAAACGGCGAGGATTACCACAAAAGTTTCATGAGGAAAAGGTGAGCAAAGACGCCAGCATGCTTTTCGTTTTTCATCAAGTACGGCACGCAAAAAGCACATTCTCAAGCAGCTAAAAAATGCATAGTAATGATTCGAGGCCAATAGCTTAAGATCACTTTTATTAAAATTCAGATGTTTTTTCTCATTTAAATCGATGAACTCAACCCCGACTCCGCTGTGCTTCGAAGCATTTGCAATATTCGCTTAACTGTAATGTTTTCTTCTTTAAAAAAAGAAGAATAATTGCTTGAATAAATAAGATTGACAAGATTAATTTGTCATACTCTTCGCGGAACGGAACAATCCACGGGCCAGAATTTGTTGATATCATGTTGAACCTTAGCGTTGTTCCGGCAATTGTAAACACGGATTTCCAGGTTCGATCCGTAACTAAATCCGTCTGTTCCGCAAATCCTCAATGGTAATGGGGGAGAATCCGATTGCAAATTATCGCAATCTGGTTTTCGCCATTTCATTCCACAAAAAATCCAGCGAAGCAGCCAACAAGCAACAGCAGCAGCATCAGCATCAGCAACATCAAGTCGATAAAAAAATGAAGCGTGAAAAATAATAATAAAGAAACACAAAACAATGAATAAAAGGTCAAGCATGTACAAAAGAAACATTAAAGTGCAGTGAAAAAGACGCATACACTCATGAAAATATTGTGCAAATAAAGTTGCATTTGAACGCAAGCACATTTCTAAATACATTTCATGCATTCTGAGCAGCGGGAATTGAATGATCGATATCCGAATTATTTGAAGAAACCCGTCGGTGCATTCGAATTTTCAACGTTCATGCAATTGTCTCAACTGTGACCATGAAAAATTCGTGCGAAAAGTTCCTCAAAGGTACCTTCAGCAGTCTTAAAGGTCAGGTTTGTCACAAAGGAATGAGCAACTCGATCGATTACAGCACACTTATTTTTCTTATATCTTTTTTCGGGGGCAACTTTATTGTCTTCAACGAAAATAATAATAATCCCAAAGACTACAATTATGAGAATATGAATGTTACACGGCATGGTGCCTGAATATGCACGATTTTCAGCTTATTCACATACGATCCATTCTGGAACCGAATATTCTTCACAATGCACTATGCATGAAAAGTCATTAAAATATCATCCAACCGATAAAAAAAAGTTTTTGGAGTTTGAACATTATGCCGAATTAAGTTCACTACACCATTTCAGGCTCTCTATAGAAAAATATGGCTTATTGGAAAACGCAGTGCTTCGAAACGACCTTCGCGAATTAGACATTTTGAAATATAAATTCTACTTCGTTGTTGGTTAATTCAACAATACAGTGAGACCCCCACATGTGGACACCTTGACCTGCGGACAATGTGACATAGGGACACTTATTTTCACAGAAAAAAATCAATGAAAAGGCCCACATGAGTAGGACACTGACTCAACATAGGGACTATAGTGATAAAATACAAATACATTTCAGGCCAAATTACAAGTTACAGATTTTTCCAACCCTAAAATTGATGTGAGAAAAGTTTGTGGGCATTTCTCTCACCAATTTACCATCCATTTAGCTGATTAAAAAAAATTGCCTCCAGCATAGAGGGACTTCTTTCTCTCTTTTTCATTTGAATGTTATTTTTGTATATGCCAACATTAAAACGTTCAGAACAGAGAGACACTATTCAATGCTCCAAAAGTTCTGATTGGGTTGAAAATGTATTCACTAATTTAAATTCATGTGCAAATTATTTTTCATGGAATTCTGAAGAATATTTCTACCATAAAACACCAATTAAAAATTATGTAATGTAATTCTATGGGAAAACAAGACTTGACTTAGGGATAATTCAACTTAGGGACACTCTTGATGCACCAATTATGTCCAGATCTGGGGGTCTCACTGTAAGTCGGGATTATTATTTTTAGTGCGACAAACAAGCCTCATGATTTCCATCAAACAAGCCCAACATATAAATATTTGTGTTTGAAATGGCGAAAAGTGTATCTACATTTTGGAAAGAGGGACAGCTGGGGTCAAGAAAATGCAAATAAAAAAAAGAATGAGCATGCAAAAATTTGCGATCATATCCGAATGAAGTGTGCGTAAAAAATGTATGCGCTGTCGCTACAGGCAACACGACAAGTCGCGATTAACGGCTCGGAAACTTGATCAACTTCTGTCTGTAAATGCAAGTGTGCCCTCGTGTTTCGTTATGTGGGTTCGCACGTGTTCACTGCATATGAGTGAGCAGGGGGGTTGCTTTCTTTGACTGCATTTAATTCCTTCTTTTTTGTTTCGTTTGAACACCACGGGTTCGCCTTTTCCGGGTATCGATATATCCTCGACGACGTCAGGTTCATTCCCGGAAGTTTTCGACATTTTCAACAGACTATATATAGTGTAAAATTCGATTGATGAAAAGATGTGTGCAAATACATCATAATTCAATCCAGGATACCCTCATAGTTAATCAAATTAAATGATATAATTACAATGTTTTTCACTGAGAACATTCTTGTACAAACTGTCTTTTTGTTTCAGAAAAATTTGTTGAAAATTACGACAAAAAAATTTGTTTACGGATCTATGGGCTGTCCCGGAAAAATGAAGAGCCCATAATACTGTAAATATCGTACAGTTTCGAAGATTCAATCTGATTTATTGATCGAAAACTCGAAAATTTAGCCGCATTTTATGTTTGGGCCCGAAGTGCAAAAATGTTTGCTTTTTATATTGAACATCAGGTTTGATTTGGACGATCTTGTTGCTCTTATCTTTCCGTTTTGTTCGATTGAAGATTATATTTGCCATTTAAAATTATATTTGTCATATCCGTTCGTTTTTTGCCTTTTTCATGAGTACAAGATAATCTGCATTGAAATCCACAAATCAGTATCAAGCGTTCATGTGAAAATAATATGGCAAGCGAATTTTCTGGACTAGATTTATCTTTTTCGATGCGATATTCGGCATGCAATTATATTTGATTGGGGGCCCTCAGAATAACTTTCATAAATTCATAAAGGTGGTACTCTACTCTGTATAATACACCGGCTGTTTACATTTAAAAAAATTTTATTAGTCCGCGATGTGAAAAAAAAAGATTGAGGCCCTGCTGGTGAAATATTTTTGTGTCACGTATGCACAAGCTACAATGAAAATCGTCAGTCGTCGGACCGCTCGAATTAAAATCCATCAAAGCATTCGCTACTTGATTTCAATCTACAAATTTTATGAAACCCCTCTTTACTGACACACCGACCCCCTGTTGGTGATTACTAATGGCCCAAGTGCGTAAGGCCAGGTCGGCAATGTTGCGAACTATTCCAGCAGTCGCCGTTTTTCGCCACACTGCTCAGTGCTTCATTTTACAGCTCATGGAAGAGAAAAAAAAATATCAGCCCAGCATAACCGTGCAAAAATTGATCCCAGGGCATGCTAATGGTCAAAAAGAGAATTTCTATGCATGCTGAATTGCTTTTATAGAGAGAGGTTTAACGTGCGTTATTCACCTTTTCTTTATTTGAAGTCGGCAGCTTTCCTTTAACATAACTTTCCTCTCCTTTCATTGCCTCAAGCTTTGCTAATTTTTTAAATCCAACTTTTTGAATCAGCCGTGATGATTTTATTCGTCAACAGTGAGCGATAAGTAAAACAAATATCTTGTTCTTTAAACAAATACCCAGAGACCATTGTTCATCATCAATTTTGATTTGTGTGACAATTTTCGGACGTTGAAGGGGATATTTTCGCTGAAAAGGGACTTCTTTTCAGGTCTTGACGATTTTTCTCTAGAAATTTCAGAGGCTGAAAAAAACTGTCTTTCGTGTATGCGACACTTCGTTCAATCAACTAGACATTTCTTTTTATCCACTCAAATAAAAGTTAAAAAGGCTGAGAAACAATTATGAGTTAATTAGTTTGCTAACGTTCCATTTTTCAAAAATGGAAAAAATCACTATGATTGTGGATTTTCCGTTACGGGAAGATATGAAAGAGTTTCTACTCTTTATTTATGCAAAATAGTGACGCATGCAATTATCTTTCGTCACATCATCACCAACATGTCAGGCAAACATTTCCACTTGATTGATGAGGAACGAAGGCTTTAAAAATATTTTGATTGCGTTCAAATGTTCGAGAAAGTTATTAAAACGAAAGCAATATATTTCATTATTCTAGACAAAATTTTCTTCGCAGCGTTGTCTCTCTGAATCCGTGGATCAAAAAGACTTTATTTGGAGTGTTCCTTGAACTGAAGTTCTGAGAAATTCCTCATATACGAGATTCGTACTCGATTGTCCCAAAACATAACGGTGGTGTTATTTCTTTGATTCTAATACATCTGCAGGGAAATATGCAGGTTATCCTGAAGGAGGACAGTGACTGTCAGCAATTTTAACATAAGCAAGTGTTGAATGACAATTTGCGCAGTCCAGTTGCTGCTGGGAGAGGAAAGTGTTGTTTCGGACACCGTCAGTCGCGCACACGGGCTTAAAGACGAGCAGCTGGTGCGAACAAGCCTGTCGACAATCTGGCCAAGAATTCCAAATCCATTGCGTTAATTTATTCTTCCGACACATTGTGTTAAACATAAAATTAAATAACAACTGAGAATCGCTTGTGCATTAAGAACTCGGAGGCTTTGAAGGATCGAACCGTGAGTATAATTTGTTATGTATAATCAGATTATCTTCCTGTGAGCGAGCATGCAGTTGGGCAAAATTTTCCAAGAATAAGTCACATACGATGAATTCGAGATTTAATTCCTTTTTATGACCAGTTATTGGAGAAGGAAATAGGAATATTAAATTACGCAATCAAGGTTGACTTCACGGCGCATGTATTCATTTATACAGTACTGTTTGAACGTTGATAATACTAAAGTTTTTTAAATATGTATACAAACAGCGATGATCGAGACATCCCAAGTGGACATTTTGCTCCTCTAAGCGGAGCGACATCTATGCAGAAGCATTGAGAATGTAGTTTACCTCTCTACATCTGTTCATATAGGTTATGTACCATCACATCCAAAATCGTTCTTTCAATTACGTATATTGTACAGTACCGTAGCGTACAGTATCTCCTCAGAATTTCCTTTCTTCATTTGTTTATTGCCAAAAGTACGCAACGACAGCTGACTGAAGCACAGATTTGAAAAATTTGCGATCAAATATATAAATTTGTATACGGACCTTGTCCTGATGCCGGCATTCCGTGGATCATCGCAATAGCAGCGAAAATGCACAACCCAAAAAGAGCAGTCTTCATTTTGAACTTATTTCTCGCTGTATTTTTCCGTCAAGCTGAAAATTCAAAATTGAATCTCCGTTGTCTTTCGTCTGAAAAATAATACAAAGGCGATATACTTGCAAATAACACCTAATTGTAACGCACCTCCGATTGAGTGCATGTTTTCGAAATTGATCATATATCAGCATATATACAATTCAATTGTAAGCACTGATTTTTTTCTGTAAATAGCTTGCACAACTTTATTCAAGACGAGGTCGAGGCACCAATAGAATCAGTGATTGTATTTCATTTTCCACTATATTAGTAATTATAGTTATAAATTTTCCTGTCCACTTCATCCACAAAGGACTTGTTCCACTTTTTGATCAGATTCTATAAACTTGCAGTTTCCAGATTGATGCGAAGGTTTTGAAAGATTAAATGCCTCTTTTGCATGCAAAAATTTATATAAAACTGCTTCAGATCTGGATTCCGGGTGGGACTTCTCTGTATGATGATGGTTAAAATACATTAAATTATAAGATAGCGGTGATTTGGCATGTTTGTAACTCATTCTCTCGCTATCAGTCGGTGGAAAAAAAAGGATTTTGAAGGATGGGGCTCCTTAGGCTAAAAATCACTCCCTTGATTAAAAATTCGAAGGAGACTCTTGGAGGAATTTTGATGTATAGCATCATGTAAACCTTTTAAATTTACTTGTTGAAATAACACACCACCGAAATGGAGGAACATCATTCTACTCTTCAAAAAATGTATTTTATATGTAGAGTATTTCTACTTGTCAATTATTATTCTCAAATTGTAAAAGGAATTCAGATAATGATCTTATTCATCAGCTCTGGAAAGATGAACATTTTTCACAGGAAAAAGAGAAACGCGTCTGAGAAAATCCAAACGTTCGTTTCATATCGGATTTTTGTAAAAACGAAGAATTTTTTGGGCTCAGATTCTTATCGATTTTTATTGATACGTGTATAGTGCCTCAAGTAAAATTATGCGACATTATCGCACATAGACTATGATCAATCTGAATTTTAAATGTAAAATTCCTGAGTTTCCATCATAGTGACACTGATTTTCAAAATTTTGTCTCGCAGTCCAGCTCAAGCTAAAACTTGCAACTGAAGCTACTCGACACTTGCAACGCGTGTTTTCTTCAAGAATTGCACCACGTTTCGAGTGACATTTTCACGTTTATCATGACCGACGAATTATCACCAACAAGCGGGACTTTCCATACGAGTGTGCCACAAAATGTGTCCAACAGCATAATGAACTGGGCAACTCAAACAGGAAGTTTCTCGTCTCATCCGCGGGAATGCGATTATACAGAGACCTTGAACAAATGTCACGCCATTTAACCATGGTCTTCAACCTTTTCTTTTTTATCTTCACCGACCCGCGAAAATCTTCAAGCATTTCTTTCTCACACATCAGAAACATGTTAAAAATCGTTTTGTGCTCGTTGTTGTCTGTGCAAGGATCCAATTTTGAATTTTTTCTCCATCAGAAAAACCATTTCAAATGTAAAAAAGCTGATCTGTGGAGCCTGAAAAAAAAATTCTGCCTACTGGAGAAATTTTCTAACCTGTTAGGAACAGTAATAAGTTGGAGTTTTGAAAGTAACTGAGGTTTTCTGATCTTTTTTAATATTCAGAAATAATTGATTCGATGCAATCAGCCAGGCTGCAGCCAGGGTGCTTTACACCCTAGTGTAAGGTTGATGTATTTTTCAAAGTTATGACCAAATTGAATTCAATCAGCAATTTTCGGTGGACAGTCTTTCGCTTGGGACAACACAGAGGCAACTGATGATCAAATGTGGAAATACTCCACTATTTAAGGAAATTTCTTTCTATTGCAAATTTTGTCCCTGAGCATTTTTATCCTTTCAGAAAGATTTCCCCAAGAATCTCAATCCCATGGGAACTCAATAAAGGTCCAGTAAAATCCCACCAGTTTCCGACCCTCTCGAAGCTTTGCCGTTTTCCTGGCGTCGATGCAATCCTATCACATTTTAAACTATCACCAATTTCTTTCCAACATAACCAGCATTAGCTGAAATTTTCATTCATCATGACGCGCTGAATATAAAAAAGGCCTCTCAACAATTGCATTTTGCATAATTGACTAATATATGACCGTCACAAATTTTGTTTCAGATGATGAAATATTTATGAATAAAAAGATGCGCTCATTTATGGATAATGAGGAAAATATTCGAAAGTAATTCCTCTTCGAAGATTTTCCTATTTGAGGGAAGGTCAGAGCGAATAAAGTTTCTTCGAATTACATAAGAACATTATATTTATGTTTGTGCTTTTAAGTTTAGGAAAATATTTTCAATTCGGAAACTTTGAGAAATATTTTAAACGGATTATCCATAACAGTGGATTTGGTTGTGAATTTGAAACTAATTCCTTTTTCGAAATAGATCAACAATGGAGCATGTAATTTTTGGATTTCAGGCTTCGTCCCACGTGAATAATGGAATGGGTCACTTTGAAACGAATCACAAATGAATATCGGTGATATTTTCACAAAGAACTCTACTCATGATGAATCAAACACTTCAAATTCATCCAGTATCTAGAACTTTTAGATTCCTTTTTCTTTTATTTAATCGTATTGACTCAAAATGAGCCCGATTCACCGGCGCGCAGCTCGCGAAGCACTGCCTGTGACAGCGACGCACGTCACTGAGAACTCCCAACTTTTTTTCCGAATGCAAGATACCTATAGATCTTCGTTTTTTTTTACAAGTTTTTGGTTCCATTGTTCTTCTCTAGAACGTGAATAATGTAATGGGAGACTTGTGTGTCCTCGGTGGGTGATTCAACATCAAGAGAGAGAGAGAGAGAGGGGGGGGATGATTGTCATTCAAGGATCAAGGCTGATTATCGCCACGCTGCTGCGCACTCAGCCAACCGTTTATACCTGGAAAAGATGGGAATTTATATTGCGAAGTATTACGCAGTTTGAGTTCATCGCGGTTTTCGAGAAAATTCGTCGAGAATTCTGTTGAGGGAATATGTTTTCGACAGTCTTCGACGTGAAGATTTTAAATTCAAGTCTTTGATTGGTCACCAGCAGTAATGCATCATCGCTTTTTTCCGAAAAAGCTCATTTTTCTTTTTGATAGGCTGCAGAAAATGTGCGAAATTCTGAAGTACAGTATTCATCCTCTCCCGTGTGTCCTCTGGATTTAAAATAAACAAGACTACAATAATATTCATTGACTGTTTCACGGGTTACAGCATATCTCCTGGATTTCAAGAATTCAAGAATACCATTCAAAAATAGAAAAAATAGAGATTCGCCAATTTTTGTTTCAACCATTTTCGTGGCTTGAAGGCATATTGCTTCGTCCAGCATGCGCATTTGAATAAATTCCCATGAAAGGAAGTTATCACCTTTTTTTTCTTCACTACATTTTGATATATATATATACAAAGGCTACCCAACTTGTGGACAGTCACGCAAAAATTGAGAAAATCACAGGAAAAATTCAGTCATTCCCTTAATTTACAATTTTACAGGTTAGTTTTTTTCTTTTTTCTTCTGCTACATTCCCTTCAAACGCATGATACAATTTTCACAGGCATTTTTGGCATTCCAATGACTTTACGGTCAAACTATTTAATATCACGGCAATCATTTCCTTTTTTACTCGGAAGTCAGTGATTTTCCATATGAAAATTCGTATGCGTTCTGCCACGAATAAAAGTTATAGGCATGATAATTTAATACATTCCGTTTCGCTTTCAGGAATGAAAGATTCCTATTATTCTCTTTATTGAGAATTCAGAAAATAGCGGAAGGAGATGATAGTTCAGCGGAGATGAGAGTAATAGTCCATTATTACGAATCGATTATTCATTTGAATACCAGAAATTTCATCTCTTCATCAGCATACCAAAGACTTGCTTATATGGCAGTATACCTGAATAGAGAGGAAATTATTGCATCATGTGATGAATTTTGCCTATCTGTAATGTCCTCAGGATAATTTTCAGTTATTTTCCGACCTTTCATAATCCCAATGAGAATTGCAGCCCAGCTAGATAAACACAATAAGAGAATGACTTCGGTTGACGGGAAGCCGGATGTTACCCCTGGGCCGGAAATTAATTTTTCTGCACCCTTCAATCCTATATAGGTATTGGTCTTGTCACGGATTTTTAATCAAATGAAAACAATTTTTTTTAATGGATAGAAAGGCCGGTTATTGTGATGCGAGTAAATGCTGTTGATTCAATAAGACTTCGTGATGCGCAGTATAAATCCACTCGATTTCGGCGATAATTGACATTTTCACCTATATTGCTTTTCATACCGTTGACAGCATTTTCTATCAATAGTTCGAGATTGAATTGCATCGAAGAAATTTTAAAATGAAGGGATTCCAAATGAATTAAGGGGCTTGAAGTAAAAATAACGGGACATGTCGATAAACTCCTCGGATTTCAGGACTGTACGTTGTTCCATTAATTGCGAGGATATTCAGAGATACTTTCAATAAACCGGCGTGGTTGAAGTTCAATTACTTTCGAACATCCGATGAACTGATTTCTACATCTAAAACACAGTCAACCACGATGTAAACAAACATTCTGAAATGCTTTCCTCTCGAATGAAGACAATGTTTTTCTCCTCAACCTGATCCAATCGAGTGGGTTTTCTCCCCACATCCATTCGAATGTATGAAGACCTGTTCGTTCAAAGGCGGGATCCCAGGATCCCAGTGCAGAAAATAAAGGAAACCTGCTGCAAAAACTCGATTACCAGAGATGACAATCCTGTCCCTGTTGGGGGAAAAAATGAACAAGCTGGAGAGAAAAGATGCACAGGATGAAGTGAAGAGAAAAAAAAAGAACCTGTCGTCGTCGACGTTTCTTCTTGTCCAAACAACACGCGCTTCGTTACGTCATTTGACAAGAGGGTTTGCCTGTAACTTCACGACATATTTTAGAGGAGACGAAGAGTAGACAGACAGTGATATTTTTCTATCCCTACCGAAATAAACCTCACCGAATTCAATTTTGAAATCATCACCTGCAGATGAGCTACTGTTTCCAACTTGAACGAAATTTTCTTGAAATA